AAAGGCACCAGGTTAGAAATCAGGAAACTGAGAGTCTCATTTCTGCCTTAGGCATGGAAGCCAGCTGGGCGACTTGGGGCCAGTCATTATCTCTCCACCCTAGAAAGGAGGCAACGGAATAATGCCACTCCCAGACAATTTTGCTTAAAATAAAATCCTATAGGGATTTGTCCAAGCAGCCCAGGCTGAATCACACATATACACCCAAAAAAGGTAAATTACAGTGACTCTAGGTTTCCCCAAAAATATGTCATTTAGCTTTCTGACGAAATAATTTAGTACATCCACCCAGGCATCTTTCTAGGTTTCAGAAATCTTCAGTGAAAACACATGACTTCAAAAAGAAGGCATTCTTCAATGTTGCCTGGCTTAAAAGTCACATTTTCTTCCATGGAAGCAGAGAGAAAGTCATCGGGGTCCTTTTCTACCATATTACGCTGTCTGCACGATGGTGCTTTGGTGCACGGTGTCAAACTCACGGTATCACGGTGCCATCACATGATGTATTGTGACGTTTGTCCCCTTTCACGGAGCTGGTGGTGGGCGTGGCCTGCGCATGACGCATCCAGCCCGCGGATCACCAGTTTGACACCCCTGCTTTGGGGGATGCACCTGATGGTCATACCCACCATTTATTTACTTGATGGATAAAGCAGATTCTCTCTGCTTGATCATGCAGAGGTGCCTGGTGTCCCACCATAAGAAGACAGGGCACCTTGTATGGAGGATTCTCCCTGTGGATATCATTACACCTGCAAAGCTTCCCCCGAAACTTAATTGGGAAGGGGGCAGTCCATTTTGTCATGAAGCTCCAAAGCCTGAGTTACCTAACCACTTCCTTCAAGACTGATGCAATCCATCATGTTGTAGCTGTTTGACATCTGCGGCTGATTTCCACATATTCAGCTAATTTTTCACTGTGATTTTAATGTGCTGTCAACCCATTTGGTAAACTTGGTGCAGATGTTTTAGTTTTGGTTTAGCACAATGTTTGAACCTAACCCAATTGTGACTTTCTCAACAGTTCATAATTGAGCAAAGGCACCAGTGAAACTACTGCTTTTTATAAATAAATAAAAAGGCTCCTTAGCCTGATTATTAAAATACATAAAGCCAAGATTACCTCCATGCTCTCATACAGAACTCATGTTTCAGCCTTAAAAATATATCATTACTAGAATAAAATCACAGCATTTGATAAGTAACTTGGGTGTGACTAAAAAGACTACAGTTGCTACAGTCACAACTGAATTGGGGGTGTGCACAATTTGTTATTTACCTAATATTGAGACCTATGTTGGTGCAAAATTAATGCTATGCAAACTGACAGAAACCCAAAAATCTTAGAACAGACAAAATTTCAATTGAAGACCTAGATTAGATTATACAACTGACAAATTATATTAGGAGCTGTGGTCTCTCTGTCTCTTGCACAATTGGAGAACAAGCTAAAAAGTTTGCTGCACAAAGGATCTTGAATACAGAAGCACTGAAAAGATATAGCTATTCTTAGTAAAGTTGGCAGATTGAAATGGATGAACCACTATAAATGTGCCTTCCAAAGTGCCAAGTATTTAAATATCTTATTTGCTCAAGCAAGTGGTTAGACACGATGCTTAAGTATTGAAGGTTGAATCAAGTCCTTTAACCAAGTCCTTGAACCAAATACACTTGTATTTGCAGAACTCCAGAAGACATAATACATACCGTATTTTTCAGACTATAAGACGCACTGGACTATAACACACCTAATTTTACAAGAGGAAAACAACGTAGTTTTCACCCTCCCTGGCTGCAGTACTCTGTATGCGGCCGCTTTTGGGCTCCCAAGCCCTCCATGCATCATGTGCCAGTGGTGGGTTGCTCTTACCGTCGCTACCAGTACACTGCTTGTAGTCCGTTCGTGCACGCATCTGTTGTGCGGTGCGCATGCATGCACACTCCACCATCCCTGCGACACCCATCTGCTCATCAGAGGTTACGCAGGCACCACACACTGTGCACACATGAGCAATTAGCCCAGTTGCTTCAAAAACAGGTATGGAACATGGGCGGGCAGGTGGACCAAATGAGCCCCATACTGGTACGGTGGCCGCTGCTCCCAACTACTACTGACTACCATGCCGTACCGGCCAGACCCCACCACTCCATCCACCCGCCCGGACATTGTGCATTGTGCATGCACGCATGAGTGCAAGCCATTGCCAAAATGTAGTTGTGTGAACACAGGGAGCAGAATGGGAGAACTTGCTGTGACCAACTCGCCATAGCCAACTCACCATGGCTAACTCCTTGTAAGACAACTCACCATGGCCAACTCACCATGGCCAGCTCACTGCAGGGCAATTTAACAATTCTATTTAATTATTTAAAATAAATAAAAAATATTTTAATTTTTGTCATTCACATTTCATTCTGTCCCTCTTTTTGCATCCTTTCTTTAATGATTCTATTCCACCATTTCTTTGATATAAGTGTAACCTTTGTCCCAGCGAGTTGTCCTGTGGTGAAATGGTCACAGAGAATTGCCTATGGCGAGTTGGCTTGGTGACCACCAAAAATGAGACTCATAACCCAGTTTCAAAGTTTCACAGACTCTGTACAATGCAAAGGGGTGAGTATAGAACAGGGGTAGTCAACCTTTTTATAACTACCGCCCACTTTTGTATTTCTGTTAGTAGTAAAATTTTCTAACCACCCACCAGTTCCGCAGTAATGGTGCTTTATAAAGTAGGGACTAGGGAAGTAACTTTACTTTATAAAATTTATAAAGCAGAGTTACAGCAAACCCCTACCGCCCACCATGAAATCTGGAACGCCCACTAGTGGGCGGAAGGGACCAGGTTGACTACCACTGGTATAGAAGGAAGCCTCTGGTGTCAAAATCAAGAGCCAGGTAATACTTTTTCTGACTGACCAATTTTATTCAAAAGCGTAGGTTCCTGTGATTTGCAGGTTGGCAGCACACTACCGGTAGTCTTTGACGTATGGCCACAATTGACCCCAAAATGTTTATCGCTAAATGAAACAGTTATTAAGTGAGTTTGGCCCCATTTTACAACCTTTCATGCCTCAGTTGTTAAGTGAATCACTGCAGTTAAATTAGTAGCATGGTGGTTAGGTTTACAGAGTCTGTGGACAAAAACATCTGTGAGGATGGAGGGCAGGGAAGAGAATGATGAAATTAGGATTGTAGTGTCATGACACAAACCATTGATTGGTTGAATTTGATTTGAT